ATGAGCAGCGATGGTTATGTCTTTTCCTCAAATGGATCAAAAATATCGAATGAATGAATATCGAATATATTCGAACATTGGAAGTCGAATTTCGAATAAATATTCGAATGATTTATTGAATAACTAGAGCAACCATATCTCAAACTTGCTGGCTTATCTGGATGAAGCCGATCCATTCATAATCAGCACCCTCGTATCCCCTACACCAACCCCTAGCCCAAAGTTTTCCGAAAATCGCTGAAATCGATGAAATATTAGGTCATTCCGAAAGTAATTTCGCTTTTTTCAAACGGGCGTCACATTTGATGGAACAAAGGTTTCTAAGAGATCTTGGACGCATTCGATGCAGCATTTCATTCTCTTTCTAATGGTTATGAAATTGTTGCAAAATAGTCAAAGAGCTTTCACAAATAACCAACATCTGCGACTTATGCTTCTTGAGATGGTCAAGTTTTAAGATTTTTTAAAACTTCATATCAATCCTCAGAAGCAGTTCAAGCAACAATTCGATAAAGTAAACATTATCGGATACAATACTACTTTTTTCTCCTCTCCGTAGCTTGTTATACATTTTTAACAGAATTTTAACTGATGCTACCGATTTCCATACTTGGACAGCTAAATCCTCGTAGAACATCAAAAGAAGAGCAGTTCGCGCACAATTCGATGCAGCATTTTCTCCTCTTTCTAACAGGTGTTTTTTGCTTCCGAATCGTTTAGTTTCCGGGAAGAAATCATAAAAGCCATTTTTTAACGAGCCCCAGGCTGTACCCGAAAAACTCGAAATTTGATATTTCGAACCCGTAAACCCTCATTTGCTTTGTAGAATTAATGCTAAGTCATAGTACCATCTTGGTAGCCTCAAATTCCGAAAAATTATGATGTTTGATGCAATTGTGGCTGAGGTGGGCCTGCCAAAATCCGATAGTTCTGTTAAAAAATCTTTTAAAATATTATGGCGAGCTACGAGAAAGAGAAAAAAGAAGCCCTGTATTCTATAAGTTTTACTCTATCGAGTCGTTACTTGAATTCCTTCTGAGGATTGATATGAAAGTTTTAAAAAATTGTGAAATGACCATCTCAAAAAACATGGGTCGCAGTTTTTGGTTATTTTCTGAAAGCTCATTGACTATGCTGCAATAATTTTATAATCGTTTAAAAGGGGACGAAATTCTGCATCGAATACCTTCAAGATCTCTTAGAAACTTTAGTTCCATCACATGTGGCGTCCGTTTAGAAAACGAAATTACTTCGGAATGACCTATTAGATTCCAGTCTTAATCAACATCCTCATTTACCCCCCCCCCTGCACCAACTCCCAACCTCATAGCTCAAGATTTTCCAAAAATCAACAAAATCGATAAAGTAAATTTTTATTCATACAAGCACCCTCACTTACCCGCTCGTACCAACTCCCAACCCGCAACAACGGTGGCCATATGTACTGAAAGGCCACAAATGCTACGACACCTTGCCTGTTCATGGAGACTTTCGTTCTTGTGTGGTATAAACTAGTCGTGGACGAAGGCATGTGGTTTATTCCGCGAAGTGAGCACGATTGCCCCTAGTCCTGGGCTTGTCCGCTTTCATCGAATCTTGGCCCTAATAGTACTGCAGGCATTTCAGTGGCGACGTGGTTTGGCAATAGTTATGTCTAAAACTTGTTCTAAAAGTACAGAATGCAGAGCATTTATCATTTTGGTAAGTTGTACACGCTAAACATTTGTGGTAAGCTGGCGTTACATTTGAAGACATCTCGTAACTGGCAAATCGGGTACGGCGATCTAAACCGTCTAATCCTCCACTAAAACTGCGATGTCCTTTACTCAAAATACATCATTTCGCAAGAAAAAAACTATAAGGTAATGAATAGAGGCGGTTATGCAATAACTTAGGCGAGCAAGAGTGTGCTCACTAATGTGAGCTTTGCATACCACAAGCATGAGCAATCCAAAGAAAAAAACAGGCATTTCAAAACGCTTTCAATATATGAACTCGGAACACGAGCTTGAATTTGATAGCTTCTTTGCTGATTTGGTGCCAATAACAGTGCGGACAACTCATGGATCGAAAAAGCATCAATTAAAATCTACATATGATTTTTTACTGTCAAGCAGTCGGAAGAATGCGACCCTCCATACAATTTGAAGGCCATAACGGTTGCGAAAGATGCACTACAGTTTTGCGAAAAAAAAACGCGGACGAAGTGAGCATGATATTCAGCAGTTTCTGCAACAAAGTCGAATAATTTGAATACGGAGTTCATTCGAATACGAATTCGAATAAACATTCGAATAAAACATTCGAATAAAATTCATTCGAAACCCCGTTTTTTGATTATTCGAGTTTTCGAATAATATTCGAATCCTCGTAATTTGATTATTCGAGTTTTCCAATTTTATTCGAAACCCTGTTTTTTGATTATTCGAGTATCGAATTTTATTCGAATCCCCGTCTACTCAATTATTCGAGTTTCAAATATTATTCGAAAATGGAAGAACTCCGAATACCGAATTCCGAATACGAATATATTCGAATGTTTTATTCGACTGATCGAATTTCTATTCGATTCGGACCCAAGTATAATATCCACCACTGCAGCTTTGAAGAAAACTCATTATTCCTTCCGATTTTGGGTTCCTTCATATTGCGCCGCATAGACAGAGTGTGCTGCAATAGGCGTATTTTCGCCGAATGCGCCGCGTACGCTGCTGCAGTCGCGGCGAAAATACGCCTATGGCAGCACACTCTGTCTATCACTGTATTTCTATATCCGCTACTCACTGTGTTTTCCGAGTGTTCATAGCGAGATTGTGCCGCCGCGGGCGTATTTTCACTGTGAGCAGCGTACGCTGCGGCTGCGGCGTACGCGGCGTACGCGGCGCACGCGGCTAGTATGAAGGAACCCTTTGTACCGAGCAATGCTCTTGCGTGAATGAGAGTGTGTAGCTGCCTAAATGAGAATCAAGAAAGAAACAACGTTAAAAGCTCAAATAATTAGAGAGTTTAAAGGAGAGGCATGCTGTGAGTTGCGAATACCGAGAGCCGCAGCATGCTGTAAAGCTTTAAATGCTCCAAAAAGCCCCCCCCCTCCCTGCTTTGGTGTGAATGCACGAAAGGAAGCGCACTTCGACGGTTATACTTTAGTAAGCAATCAAAAGCATGTTCTCTCGTATCATGAAAGATGAGATATATTGCTGCTAGTCCTTCTATTCTACTCTATTCTATTTACACGATCTCGACACTTCAGTGCTGGTGCTCCTTATATGATATATCCAAAACAAAAATTATTGTGAATGGAATCAAGTCTGAGTAGTGACGGAGAAGTTGGACGTACGTTTATGAAGAAAACCAAACAATTAATCTGTAAAGCTTGCTTTTACGATATCACTGTGTTTTGCAAACTCAACGTTGACATTAGCAATGCAAGCAGCTTGGGCAACGCGGCCGCAGTTATCCACTTTATCTTCTTTGAATTGAAATGCACACGACCATTTTTTGTGAGAGCGGATGAGATAGACGAAGTAAGCAATGCTGCGTCTTAAGTACACTCTAGGTTGTAGGCCGCTCGCACAAACCGTTCAGACTTTTGTACCTTTTTTACTGATTTAAATCCACAAAATTATAGCGGCTCATTGAGCACAACGCGAAGGCGCCTCTAGTTGAGAACAGCTAATCGATGTCTTCAAACCTTTTATTTTCAATTATCACTATCATTATCGTAACACAATTAATCGTCAAGTTTCGTAACTTTTGCAAGTTCTCCGTACTGTAGTATCGTTTCCTTGCAAACGAGAAACGCGTCTTGTCTAATTTTCTGATGGTTTCAACTAAACACCGACTAAAGGCTGACGCAAGGTTAGTCGCTGCATTTTGTTCCTTATTTTGCCAGATTACGAAAGGATTTGTGAGAAGTTGAGAATTTGAGAGAAGGAATCAGTTTTACCCTGGCTAAATTTCCCAGGTAATGATTAAGAAAGCATTTATTCGATATGAGCTCTCCTTGAGATATGTAACAA